ATCTGTTTCTTGCATCTTGGCTGAATTGTTTTGTCAGACATAAATTGATCTGATTGTATCTCATGATGTTGACTCAATGGTAGTGGCGGGCGTCGCACGTGAAGCAGATTGCGTTTACTCTTTTCGAAACACCTGATGGTACTTCTCTTGGAAGAAGTCCACTACTATACAAATTTTACTCTCGATTTGCTATAGTTTTGAGATTATAGAAGAGATTTTGATTAACGGAATTGTCTTGCCTGTCCACGTAAAGGAAATACAAAAGTACATAATATGTACTGATCAGAAATGAAATGAATGGAGTTTTACGTCCTACTTTTCTGTACCATGTGGGCTAAGGAAGAGGGGCAACGCCATGAAGGGTGCAATGAGGGAAATTTTGCCAGGACGGCGGCATGAGCCTGCTCTTTTTTGATTTCCAACTATCGAGGGATCTTTAACAGCCTGTCTTACCTGCATCACTGACACGGGGGAAACCGTGTTGAAAAAAACGAAGGTATTATCTCGACCTAGGCCGGGATTGAGCCCTGGACCTTCAGGTTAGCGAGCAAGCGTCTAACTCATTAAACCACTGTGGCTCCCAGGTACTGATCAGAGAGGGTACTTCAGAGTAATCTCTCTAAGATAAACATTCTCTCATCTTGAAGCCCTGTCGTTTTTTTATATAAAAAATTTGGTTTTGTTTATAAACAAAGAAGAGATTGTTTACAATATATGACGTGTTATTTAACTTCAAACTTGAAACTAAACAGACTATCATTTTCATCTTCAATTTGATGGTCGGCAGGATGTCAGCATTTCATGTAATATAATGGGGCGGATGCTCACTAGACTTTCCGAAAACAACTTCCTTAAAGGGATTGTAAAGGGTTTTCTTAACACTGACTGTACTATCGCAAAATTCCGTAGTAATATCAGTTTTTTCGATATAGTAACGTCAAAAAAGCATGGTTTTAGTGGAATGGCAGGAATCACAGACGTCTGACTGAAAATAGGAATGGTCTAAATCGATGCTGTTCCCGATACACTTAAACATTGAGAAAACTTCTTTACAATCCCTTTAATATCCTTTAATATTTTCTTTCGAAGCTAGATTTGGCCATTTTGTATTAAGATCAAAGAGAATGCCTGTGGGTATGTAACCTAACTCTTTTGAATATCCTGTGTTACATTAACAAATGCATCAAATGCAGTAAGAACGCACGTAAGACCAGAATCGCCAACTAATAACCATCAGATGTTACATTGCACTATTGTGCAATATGTATACCCTTTTAATGGCAGAACTGACATTCGTGTATTGAGTATCGGTAAGTATATATATACATGAGTTTGTACCCTTCTGCCTTGCAATTCCAGCGCCCTGCAGTGTACAATGTCGCCAACAGAAATCATGTGCATGTTATTAATCTTACTCGTCATTTGATCTACTGAAGTTGCGATTTGGTCAGAAACCAACTCAAATGTCTTTATGAATAACTTTGGCATTTAGGATTAAATCTGCACTAGTTTATCTCAATAAGTCTATCATATTTCTATAATTGAGCTGATTCGTCTTGAAATTTATTGGTCTACAATGGCCTTGCCAAAACACTATTTATTAATACAGCATCTTACTGGGAATAGCAACAACTTTCAAGGCATTGCGTTTTACAGCAATAACTATTTTGTTACAAGGTCATGCAAGGATTTCAGTGGAGAAGTTCAGTGGAGTTTTTGCACAATTTCAATTTTTTTTTATCAGATACATTTTTCAGTGCTTATTTTACACCACATGCTCATATTTATCAATAATTTTGTGTATATTTTTTGAAACCCCCTATCAATCATTTTCACTACGCTGTAAAATAATTTAAAGTCAAAGGAAAACAGTCGTCTAATTTGTTGCTACGAGCTGTTAACATGCCTGGTGGACTGGCTGACATATAGCAATCGGTGTCTATCTGCTCTATTTGATTAAGCTAGTTAACTACACATTTTCATGCTGAAAATTCCTATATTGGTAGTTAAAATTGCGCTCTATCAGCTGTATTAAATCTTAATATCTTAATAAACAGTTTTCATTCAAATGCAGAACGCAATGAGGGTAATGCTCGGTCTCTATTTTCGATTTTCAACCCTCATGTATGTAGAACGAGTAGTATATTACTGAATGTTGATGTTTTGGTGAATGTTAAAATCATTAACACTGTTTTTACTTGCTATCTTGTATTTATGGTAATCTGAAATTAGGTATAGAGAATACCAGCAAGATAAAAACTTACGAACAGTAAATACTAAGAACATCAACGAGTTCTATTTATTCGCTCAATTACGAGGTACAAAGACTTACAGAACAGAAAAAAACATTTAAGTTTAACATCTATATTAAAGAAGAAATTATTTTTGGCTATTAATAGCTGCACAAAAACCCTAGTTTGATGTACAGCAGTCCTTTGTATTTACATGTACATGGTTTAACAGTTAGTATGCTGGTTTAAACAACTTAGCTGTCAAAGCACCCAGCTTACCTTTGGAACCTTAGCTGTTATAATCTAGTTTTGAAAACTTGAATTACAATGAGGTGTATTTAGTATATAGGGAACCTGTTGGTTAAGGCTTTATCTGCTACCATCTTGGTTTGTTGGTTGGTAGTTAACAAGTTAACGTTCGTTTCCAGCGGATGCTGATATCGCAAACTAGGTAGTTGTTGGTAGTTGTAGTAGTTGGATAGGTTCAAATTGGATGATTCTGTGTTGTTTGTTTGCTTGTTGATATATCCTTATAGTCGGGTCGAATGACATGGCGGTGAAACTCGGCCCTGGATGGTGTGGCGTGAGTTACTCATCTTCCGTTCTCTCACATTTTATACAAGGGTTTGATTAACCAGACCCAAACTGTGACATCAACTGTGCCACTCATATAAACTTTGGAACTAGAATGCTGGTAGTCAATGCTCAACTGACGGAAACTAACGAGAATTGGCGAAGGTAGAGCCAAATGTATCTGTTCCTCTCTAGTAATTTTTTACGGTTTTAAGTGCTCAATTGACTTAAGATAGATACATAACTATTGGTATTATAGCTTCACCACATCTTGGCAGCAATATTTTAAAAATATAGGCTGCAATATCTATTGCATGATTTGGGTTAATAATTCTAGCAGGATATGGAATGATAATTAGAATTATTGATTACATGTTAAATAGATTTTCCTGAAGTACATGTTGTACTCTAACAATTTTATAATGGTTCTACATACCATTGTATGTTTACGATCACGTAATAATGTTCCAATTGTTAATCCTTTGCTAACGACTTCTTATAGTTTCAAACTACAATGAATATTCTTGTTACAGAGGAATTGCAGAACACAAAATGTTAAGTTCTTTTACACTTACTGATGTCAAGGGTTTCGATCTTGAGCATTGTGCAGGATGTGTTCATACAACTCTCATCCAATTGCGTCCTATTTTAGTTTCATATCAGTAATCTCACAATTGCCCAAACCTAACATAGCGGTTTCGCTTGTTTTAGCTAAAGGATTGGTGTACGGCAACTACTGATATCATAGCGGTATTACTTTATTAAATCTAAATACAGGAAGCAAAATTGAGAATTTGAATATATTTTCTTTATGCTTATTCATAAAAAAACAGAACTGTGATTTATCGTAAAGATAGGTTGTAAGATCTAAACGTGTTTCGGGAAGTTCATTTATAAACACATAAATATTGATTATACTATTACCACGGAGTGTTGTTCTAATGTCTAAATTATTTTGACATTTATCAATACCATTCTACGTTCTACAAAATGTATTTCTTTAGATTACTATGTAAGGTCCATTTTTACAAAATAGAATCTTTCTTTTCAACATGATCAATGGCCCAATTCGTTTCAGTGAATCTTTAACTTTTAAATGCACTTCAAATGCAATAAAGATGAATATTTGTCTGGTGTTTTTAGCACCATTGAAAAATGTAAATAGTGATCACTTAATGCTTACAGTGTCCTTTCTTTTATTTACATCTGGAATGGTCACTGTTTCTGCTTTATTAGTTTATGGTAGTATTTGAAACGCACCTATACATTGAAGTTTAGATGTGTATGTGTCAGATAGGCAACGTTCTTGGATGTTGGATCAAGTGTAGCACTACTTCCAAATTGTTGGATATTGTGCTTCGAGTGATAAATTCTGTAACGAGTTATAAAATTATCATTCGTTTTCATAAGTGATAGAACAAAAGTTAAGATACACGTAATACTTTTCATAATCTGAATTATGACGTTCTACGTTCGTTAATGATCTGATAAAAAAATAATCTCCTGTCATCTATCTCATTGACAAAATTTTCATTTTATCCGCACTAGCTGAAGTTTATCTCCGTCTACATATATTAACGATCCATCTTGACATCTATGATTTGTGACTTTGTTCCTTATATTGTAAGTTTGGGATCTAAACCTAGCACCAAAACTTTTTCAATCAAGGAATTATTCATCTTTATCAACAGAATATTCATATTCGACTTAGGCAATCGTCCCAACCACATGTGTACACGGTCAGTGACCAAGGCTCCAAACTTATGTGAATGAAAGTTTGATATTGATATTGTATTATGATTGAATGTTAATCTATATCAGTATATATAGGTATATTTCTAATCTTATCGAATATTTCTGTTATCATATCTATCACTAGTATTCTCATGTTTACATTCTTAATATTTTCAGATTGGGAATTTGGCTCGTCGACCGACAACTTGGCTTGTTATTGGTTTGAAGTGTGCTGATAGACCGTGTTTCTACAATCTGGTATTACTAACATCACCTGTATATAGTTAACGAGTTACTAAGAAACATTAGCTATCTGGATAGATGTCATCTTCAAACAAACAGTAAATGGAGATAGTTTACTAGAGGGATTACAACATTATTTGAGATAACGTCGCGTATTGTTGTCGAATTTCGTTGTATGTGTCGTTTTGTGTGATTTTTGGTGGAAATAAGTGGCCAAAAATGAGTCGTCGGGCTAGTTTGTTGGCCAAACAAAATAAAACCAAACCAAAAGTTCGATTTCCCGATGAATTAGTGTTTTTAGATAATGTAAAGGAAAATGATTTAAAGGCTATGGACTCAATGTTGAGACGTGCCAGTTTACAAATGGATTTAAACGCTCTAAATGATGCAGGTGAGGTGATTTTTATTCTTTCATTTTTAAAATGTCCAAGGTCAGCCATTATCGATCTAGTTACAGACAGACTGATCAAAGGCTTTACTTGGTCAAAAAAACTTGAATACCTAACTATAGATAGACTACTATCTCCAATTGACAACATGTCCTGTTTTGCTGGGAGAATGTACTTAGCCTTGGAGACATACATACCACGTTTAAACTATAGATTATGACTTGCAGTTAGAATGTATTTATGACGGTTTCTTCTTCATGCTATGCTCCTTTTTGCAATGGTGTACGACGTCTATCACATCTATCTGCTACTTCTATAACAAGATATTCGTTGCTGAAAGAGCATGTCCTCATATATGTCATTAACCAATAACCTTGAACATGTATTGCATGTAGCGGTAGGTATTCTAGCCTCAGAAAACTTTTATATTGCAAATACAATATGTGCCAGATACAAAGCTCAATTTTGACTATAATTATATACATGGCAGCTTGTAAATGTAAAAATCAGACACTGGAAAAATCCATTCTTTTTTGTAAAATAGGCATAGATACATGCATAGACATGGAAAAAAACTGTTCTTAAGAATAGTCATACCAACTTCTTGTACAAGATATCTAGTAAAATGTTTACCCCTTCCAATATCAGATCGTGTTTCCTTTTAACTCGTTATAAGATGTTTAAGGTGTACTAGATAGCCACAGCAGATAACTTTGATAATAATTTGATCACCTGTTGAAAAGGTTGAAATAAGCGGAACTTAGACTCAGTCAGGTAATAACTGATTTACGACTTTTTATCTACAGACTAGTAGTAAAGGCCTGAGGTAATAACCAGCCCCATAGTTCACAAGTTACACAGATTATACATATCAGATTTTAACTGATTTAATCTTCTGAGTTGAATTGACGGGATGACAGAAGCTCATTTAATAAGTTGGCAGGTTGAAATAGGAGAATAGCAGGAGGGGTGGGTTGGGTCCTCTACCATCCGTGAGAATGGTGAGTCAATTTAATTAGTTATGGAACATATCTGTCTTCCTGGTTGTTCAAATCGCGTTTATAACATACTCATTTAGTATGACTATTGCTTGACCCATTTATCATTCAAGAATATTTCCACAGCTTGCATACTCCAGTTTCGGTTGGAATAAAAAAAAATAGCCTATTAAAAACATGACTTGTAGAACAACTGCTTTTATTGCGTGTGTGTTAATCTCACCAGCCGTTGGACTAAAAGATAGTTTTTTTTTATCGGCTACCCACCATGGTTTCAGAGTTAACTAATCTATGGTAAAGGTGTTTGGCTGTAATTAATGGTTCTTAAACAGATTAAAGTTTAAAAAATGTCTGTGAAATAAGTTCAGGTTTCAATTTAGTGTTAGTAGTGATGATACAAGGTTGATGACCTTCCAGATAATTTGTTTAAAAAACTTGAGATACGAAACAGGAAGGTAGTAGATAAACAGATTACTTTATTTTGGAAAAGGTTTATCGCAGATCAGAATAGTCTTATGACCATGGCGTACAGATCTTGTAGGGATCTTTTTCCTGTAAAATTGTAACTGTGTTGTCGGTGATTTGATTAATGCACCACACCGAGGGTTCAAATTATAAACGATTTATTAGCTAACAATCAAAAGTGGTTAAAACAATAACAAGGTAAAGACTTTACCACAAAACGTTTATAATGAGAATCTTAATTGATATTTATCTTGAAATTCCACAAATAATGTATATAATAACACTATATGAAAACTGTGCAAACTAAATTGAAGAAACTTCAATTTGAAGCAATATACAAATCATAGATGGCAGAACAAACCATGGAAAAAAATACTAAATAGTGAAGCCAAATGACCAAAAAGGTACAACTCAGACGATCATTACAATGTCAGTAAGGACACAGGGTTACAGTTCAGATTGAATAGAACTCAGAAATAGAGTAGAGATAGTAAAGAAATTAGTTAATACTGTGAACTGAAGTATAGGTTAATGGTCGAGTGACGTTCAATAACATCACAAATATCCGTAGCTCGAACCGCAAGGTCTGTTGCAAAGGACATGAGTTACATTTAAAACCAATGTGATTACACCGTTCAACAACTCCATTCCTACTTTCAGAACCTCTGATGAACACCAAAATGTGATTCAGCATGTGAACTTCAGTCATATTCATGAACTGAAATGTGTTTTTATGACAATTGACAAAATTGGTTTCATTCTGAATTTCCTAGTGAAACACGTCTGATTACTGGCATCTGAGAATAATTTCCCAGACCTTAAAACCTTCTTATCATTATTTATAACAATTTGAATAATTTTTGGGTGCGGATGATATTGCTGTTAAGAATAATATTGTAAGGTGTAGGCAGATATATACAGATGGTATAAGACAGAAGCTTATTTCAAGTCTGTCTGATATTTTCATGTAATACGATATAATTACGTTGAACTTTACCAAACTATACTCAATGTTATGGTGATAGCTTATAAACTGTTTATACATCAAACATCTGCTGAAGGGATACATGCGTCTCTATTTTATCATTGATGCCTGTTCCTAAGTTTGTAAGACACACAAGGCTTATTGCCCTGAACTTTGGGTATTAGCGTCGCCTTGAGGTATTGCTGCCATCAACTAGGGTATACGTTGGTATACTATGATAAAATTTAGATATACTATTTCATGATCATCATCGAGCAAATTTCAATATTTCTGTTTATCATAAACATATTTTATCCAGGTCCAGGTGTTTATTGCGCATTGAACGTTTCAGTTGCTTTCAAAATTGGTAAGTAACTAATTGGTAAGATAAAGATTTCCGGTTTAATAAAACAGTAGAGGAAAGAAGACGACAACATCCCTTTATTAATGAACTGAGATATTTGACAGAAAGTATTTTTGATCTAGGAGATATACATTAATGTTGACGTACCGGCAGCAAAAATGTGGTGAAAATCTGCAGTTTTATGTAAAAAAAATCACACGGCTATCTAATAACACCCTACAAACAAGACTAGCGTTGTTATAAATATCAGATAGTTCTATTATAGATCACTTACAGGAATCTCGTCAAGGTCATTCCGCATTCCACAGTTCTGTGAATAGTTCCATAACTCGCTGATGCAATATCGATAAAATCACACTGGGTGTTGTATGAAAGGATTCATTCTCTAAAAACTGAGTTTATTTTTAACCTGTCATATCCAAAAATATTTCGGTTCGTGTCCAACATTGGTGGATATTTATTTTTTCAGGACATATGGCATATAGGTAAATGGATCATGGATTATTGAAAGGGGCAGATTCGCCATCCGTATGACTAATCGTACTATATATGATATGATAGTCTTAGAAATTAGCGAAACTAATCTGTAATAGTGTTCACAGCTAACCGTCGAAATTTGAGCCCTCAATTCCATGCGTAGAATTATTCGCGTTTAAAAAGATAAAATGACGTCTGGTCATTTCTTAAGACTTCTGTACACTATCAAGACGTTGTCGGCATTTCTTTCTGTCAATGTTGATTTTCATGTATGTACATGTCAAGTCGAATATTATAGGGAATTGAATTTAAAGGGTCTTACCGGATTGTTACTAGAGGTTAGATTAAATAGACGACAGTTCAGTCCGTTACTTTCTGGACATTGGTCACCCCTAAACCAGCTTAACATTCGGGTTTTACGTATCAACGCCCAAGTCAAACATGTGTTCCGGAAAAACAATCACGGCTTTCACATTATTTTTAACAAGTATGATCTCGTCTTCCATGAAATGTCAATAGAGAATAAAAATAATAAAGCCATATTGTTATTTTGAAAGTTACAAATATTTGGTGCTGGTCTTTTAGGGATACAGGATACTATGATAGCAGATTTGTTTGAAAAAACGTCGACACTTCAATTAATATTACTGCTGATTTTTACCAAGTTGGATACGAGTAATTCTGTACAAAAACAACTCTAAGACTGTGAATGCGAAGATTAATTAAACCAATTAGCCCCTCTCAGTGTCACTCAACTTGAACTCGGGTTCAAGACATAAGCATAAAATCTATTTCAATCGAATGTTACGGTATTACAAAATTATAGTTAAAACTTAACAAATTCTTGTTAATAGAGATTGAACAAGGGAGTGGCCAAGTCCACTTATCACTCTTATTAATGTTTGATCACCATCATGGTCTTACTTAACTTTAGGCAATCTGACAGATCAATAACTTGTCCATTGGGGGAGGCCTTAGATTTTTTTATTCCTCATATTATATCCACCAAAAGCGCTTCTTGTAAGACTTGTAAGAATAAACTACAGAAGTTAAAATTATTTGATATTTGTTATCTTAAGTAGGTTACATTTTAAACGTCAAGATACTTGTAATTAAAACAGGAAAATCAGACTGTCCCTTTAAGTTGACACCTTTTAGGCTTTATCATACATTATAATTACATTATAAATAATATGCATGTAGCGGATTTTTACAATTTTATGCCGATAAGTAATAAAAAATATGCAATGGAACTAAGGAAAGCTCGTATAATATCATGTATTAAATATGTTAGCTTATTCTATCATCAGAGCTGGTATAATTCCAGTAGTATTAAGTTTGATGGAGAGGAATGTCAATTGTTTAATTATAAATAATAATATAATATATAAAACTAGTATATATATAGTTTTTAGAGTGTCATCTTGAGTAGGTTTTTTTGTATATAATATACTTTAGTCCGTTTAACTTCTATTTGTTCGTTCATGATATTTATATTCTTCGGCATTTTTTTTATTTTGCTAACGCTCTGCCTTTGTATTGATTTTAGTACTCTGCATCATTCCAATTTTCAATCTGTTGTTTTTGCACTTGATTTGATTGTACGTTAGCGAATACAGCCAACCAGAGGCCTCGACAGAAGTCAATTAGCCATAATTAGCCAGACCTTTTGAAAAGTTGTATTCGCTGGCGTAAAATCAAATCAAATCGCTGCATTCTGTGAAACAAGAAAGGTGGCTATTGTAGTCGAGGTATTAGATGCAGTTCGTATTAGCTGGGCATTGTGACGATTGGTTAATGAAGTAGGAATAATTTAAAGTTATTCGGACTAACTACTAGGGTGGTAATATCATCAATATAAAGGTGAAGAATGAGTCATGAGTAAGATTTCCAGACTTGCCAGAATCCTCAATAGTTAAATAATTTATAGAACATACATTATCTACCACTGACGAGAGACAAACGAGAAAAACTTGGTGAAATGACGTGAAAAATTCTCATAACGTACAGTGTGATGTAGATTCAGTAAAATAATCTTACTACAACAAATATATCGGGGCTTTATGGATTGTCCGAAAAATCACACTTTACTTGAGTTGTAGGCTGGCAAAGTCGTTTGATGCTCCTCTAAATTTTGGCATATACCAGAACATAATTTTACCTATCCATAGTGCATTTCAGATCTAAGATCTCCTACAATGCCACAGCAATTGCAATGAAAATCAAGACTGTATTTACTTCAATGTTATGCTAATTTCCACTTCCATACAACTAGAATTACAGAAGATATACACATCAGAGACGTTTTTAAATATAGATTGGTAAATTTCATTGTGGTATATGAGTTACATGCAATGCAAATAACGCCACGTGTGTCAGGGTCTTATGGTCAAGTTCTAAGCGTTCATGGATACAAATAAATATCGTAGGTCGAAGAAAGTGATCCTTAATAGTAACAACAAATCAGGAATGGTTATGGAGACTACGAATAAATATCTACACCAATAAAACACTGTCTCTGTATAACGTTCATGTCTCTATGGAATACAACACAATGAAATCAGATACACCAAATAAAACAAATTAATGGATTAATGTTAGTTGATAAATTGCTTCCCATCTGTCATCGGTGTTGTTTATATCATTCAGATATCTAATAATTCAAAATGATAACAGAAAAACCTTCAGAAAACGCAAATATGAATATCTCTGAGGTATTTGGATTGCGATTGGAATTGGGACAAAGTTATCTTTATCACGGCTTCTACTTTCATCTGATTCTTACCATCCTACCATCATGTATGTGTTAATCCATCGTGTTCGTAACAATCTATAGAAGATATAAAATAATTCCTTCAAAAATACCTCAAACTAGGAGTTTCAATTTCTATTTCTATATATGGCAGTCTCAAGAAAAGACGAGTCGTCATTATAACTTTAAAGTCTGGAAAACATATCGATTGAAGTCCCGTTTCTGAGACTAAGGTACGATTGGTCAAACGCGTGTCCTTTTAGGCCCTAAGCATGTCTGTTTGTGTTTGCATACATTTTTTATGGATTGGGAAGAGTTGCCCATAGCTATTTTGTGTATAGGATACACCTATTTGGCAGATGGGTTATATGGTGATGACGTCATAACCGGATAAAGTATTAAATGAGAATTATTGTACCTGAGTTAAAACGTTAAAAAAACAATCAACAATTGATGTGGAAGTGAAGTTTAGGGCCGCCTTGCCGTCTAACTCTCAATCCAATGAGGCAAATAATCGAATTATATAGTGTTAATAAGAGAAAAATTAAAACAGTAAGGATATATAATAAATTTTCTGAATGGGTAGTTGCTTAGTAACCATAAATAAACTTTTAAGGAACCACTTTTATTTTCCTCGTATTTTCACTGATTTTAAGAGAGAACAAGTGTTAATACAATAGGCTGTGATTGTTATAGTGTTTTTATATCTATGTTATAAAAATGTGATTATGAGGAAAAAAGAATGTTCATATAGTTTAATTTGGCAAGTGGCTTTTCCAGGTGGCTAGATTAGGCAAATTGAAAGGTTAGTGGACCACAGCCATATACGCCCACCACGGCATCCGGATGGTAAATATTCAATATTTTGGGGCAAAGGCAATAACTCTGCTTCTAACGGTCGAAAATAGCTCAAATTCGAACTTGATCTTCGTTTTATGAACATGTATAGATATACCGAATTTCATTTGATTCCATCAAAAAATCTAGTTTTTAGAGCGTTTACAAGCAAATGTAACGGACTGAGGGACTGACGGACGGGCGGACGGACGGACGGACGGGCGGGCGGACAGGGGTGCCGACAATATACGTCCACATAGAGAGATGTGGGCGTATAAAAATATAGTCAGTAAAAATTCAGATAAGGCGGTATATTGGAATCTACTGGGAGAGGATAACCAAACACATATAAAAGCAAACGAACGTTTTGGATAACGGGTATCATACATAAGGTCCATTTATCGCACCTTTAAGTAGGGATCTACATCTTTCACATTTGTCCTTGTTTAAACTAAAGAATACGATTTTGTGCTATAGGAGTTATTATAGATTTTCAATGTAACTTTGGTATCAATATCAGCTAAAGATATAAACTATGTATTGAAATATCTTCTTTAGTTTATTCAGATGGTATTAGTCTTAAATCTGAGTTCAAATATAACGCATTATTCCTGCCAAACTTTAACTTCTATCTACTAAAAAATGTTAACCGGATTTTTTTGATTTTTTTTGTTTGTTTCTTTGAAATACCAAGGTTCGGTAGGCATGTGGAAATTGGCATTTGGTGCTGCAAGTTCGTTTGAAGATATTCTATTTTGATACACTGTATGCTATTTGTAATGAATTAGCGTGGAGAAATGATAAGATGGCATCAAATCTCGGAAATTCTAACGAACATCAGACGGATACAGACAAGATACAGAGAGAAAAAAATAATTTCTGGAATTAGTAACAGAAAAATAATACAGTAACACAGATAGTAGCAGATCATCGGATCAGTAACAGTGGTAGTGTGATCCTCTTGAGAGTGGACAGTTTGACTCAACGGGGTGGGGGATGGGTCAAGGTCGATTTCTATCAGTAGCAGTCGTTATATTTATGGTATTTATACCCTTGACCACTGATTAACTGCGATAAATTATATCTAGATGGATTTCGATCCCTCCGGTCGACGACGATCCAGGTTTTTTTTTTTTAAAAAATAAAACGTTTACAACAGCGAATGTTCAGTCAGATTTGCTAGTCGACTAAATTAAATGAGTGATCCGATTCTCCAAGATAACGACATTTTTTTGCTAACAGACGTTGTTTTGTTCTAAAATTCAACCAGTTACAAGAGAAACTTAAAACTGGAGACTTAACTAACCCCTTCCTCTCTTAAACGACCTGTATGTAGTTCACCAGACTTTCCACTGGGTTGTGATTAATCTCTGAAGTAACAAATATAATTTTCAAAACAAAACCTTTGGCGTCTTCACAATGTCAAGCTATTACGAACTTTGCAATGAGAATATACTATAAAAATTACTCTTTGACCTAAATCTACTGACTAACAAGAGTTCATTCTTTAACCCCGTTAGAGATGCCTTACAAGCATCACCAAGGCTAACTCAATCATTAGTCTGTTTGCAGATGATTTCAGGGTACCTTTAAATCCCTTGACCAAGAAAAGATGCAGGTCATTCCACTATTCATTATATCGATCGGTCAGTTAAACTTTCTAGATAAAAACAAAATAAATACACATATTGTAACAGGTTGCCCGATGTTTACAATTTATCTATAACATCTGTTACTATATTACATAGATCTTTTCACAGGGTTGATGATGAACAGATCACAGATGTTACAATTATAGTTTTACGAATAATGAAATTGGGTGAAAACTTTGCAGGGGTCTGAGTTTTGAAGGACTTGTATAATGTTTAGGAGACGTGACAAAATTCGAAACTTTGCTTAGCTTGGTTATGTTGGCTAACAACTAGCAGCCAATCAGCTGGTAAGGCTGATAATAAATAGGACGGTTCAAAAGTTAAATTAACAAGACACAGGTGTTAAAGTTCTTAATTATAAAAATACAAACGTTAATAACTTTCATTTAACATTCATTTATCAAAGTATTCTAGTTGCAATAAATATCATCCGCTGTATGGCCTTTAAAAAAATCGAAAAACTGAATATGTGGCCTTTTTATCTTTGTCGGCAAAGTATGTCACAGTAACTACATCTGCATATTCAGATTCAAATCTGGGAATGTTGAATATCAAAACAATGAAATATGCTGCCACATATATATTCGTGTTTATGTTTTTGATTACCCTATACACCCATTGCATATCCATTATACAGTTCAATGCGCTAAGTTGCTTAAGAGTCATTGGAAACACAGTGCTGTTTTATTTATTTTTGGTCGACATGCACAATCCTCCTCTATTTATTTTACCAATTTTTAGAATCGACCTTCATATTCGAACCGAGCAAATGACAACACTTAAATATGGGAGACTTCACTGAGGTTCTGGTTTATGCATTTTGTTTGAACTTTCTATGAACGTGTACAAGTGATATCAAAGTATTTAATATTGAACTGATTATATATTACAGGCTTAACTCCGCTACACCAAGCATGTTTAGATGGTAATTATGGTGCAGTCAGAATGTTAGTAAGTCATGGAGCGGATATCAATAGAAAAGATACTGATTGTTGGACACCTTTACATGCTGCTTGTGCTGAAGGTCATGCACAGATAGTCAAGTAAGTAACTTTTTCTACGTAGTGTGATAATGGGATGTGGATGCGCTGTGGGTCAAGAACCTCGACCTGGTTCTCAAAATCTCTTGATGAAATTCATCGTAAGTGTAGAATTATGCATTGCGAAATGCCATAATTACGAAACAAATTGATATTTTTTTTTAGAAAACGGGGGCCAAGTTTTAATTTGTCACCGTAGCATCAGCTACACAGATCTAATGCTTTTGTTGCTTTGCATTGTTGATGTAAGACAAACATTCCAGTCTAATTCTCCTTAAATTCTTCAAATCAAGGTGGATTAGTGAGTTTGGGATATTATACTGGCTATATCTTTGTTCCAGATATGATGTTGGTTTGGGACATTGTTCGCTGCTATTAACCGCTTCCATTACACACTGCATGCGTCTAATCCATTGAAGAACTTTTGGACGCATAATGTTATTTCATTTAAATTTTTTTACATATTTGCAGGTATTTATTGAAGAAAGGGGGTGATTATAGGGCAACGACAGATAAAGGTGAACGACCTCTAGACCTTGTGGAACCTACAGATTTTAAAACAATTAGTGTGATGTTAGCTAAACCAAGTACTTTAAAAACTGAGTCGGACGAGGAGGAGGTGGGTGGCGATGAGAACGCTAACAGTTGACGGTCATGATTAACAACAATGACGTATAATGACGGTGCCAAATTTTAGTCATGTAGAAATTTTTGCCAACATTTTTCTGTTGCCTTTTAACAGAGATGTGAACTTTGAAGAATGAATTCTCAGACACAGAGATGCCATCTTTTGTGTTTGCCATATAACACTGTACTGGATCGTGTTCGGTTTATTTCGATCATTGTGTCACTTGTAATATCTGTAGTTATGATCGCTTTTTTTTAAATCAGCGACCCTTCATTGTATTAATAGTGTGTCTTGAATATTACAAACGAACGTCATGTCAGATTTTTATTCTTAACAGTGTTGCGGTTGGCTTCAAATGTAGGGAAAATACTTAAAATGAACCCCTTCACTATGGTAGTAGAAAGAAACTTACAAGAAGCAAACAAAGATTATTCCTTTATTCTGTATTTAGTTATTTTTACCAGTGTTATGAAATTAAAAAAAAGTTATGCCACTATTATCCTGTATTATTATGTTATATTATGATCAAAATGTGCCTTGACCATTCTCAGGTATTTTACTGTACATGTATAATTTGTATTAACTAGTCACGTATAGTTTTGGTTCATGATACGGTCTAATCGTCCATCGGCTTATCTTTGAAATGTACGGTGAGCATAACTTGAGCTCCCTCAGCCCATATCGGTTATATCCTATTACGTTGAGTCAAATATAATGCATCGATTCGTGGATAAGCATGACATTTCAAGAAAGCTACAGTGTTGTCGGAATGAGTTTTAAAAAAAGAACGTTATCAAAATAATATATAATACTGTATGTTGTTCAATGATAATTCATTTGAAACAACCTATCTGTCATTGTATTAAATCACAATTTGTACTGGTTTTCATTGTAATATTTCATTTTAAATTATCAGGTGTGTTTTTCATATTACAGTAAGGAAGTTGTAGAAACTCCGACCCAATTTACCGGCTTTACCCTCCAGAGAGAAATAGGTCATTTTAGTATACAGCGGAACCTTTCAATACCCCCAATCCCACGTATTCTTCATTGATACCAACTATGCCCTTTATTGAGTTTGATTGCGAATAACTAATACTTTTCTGTATTTTATGGGGTACCAAGGTGGCTTTATAAAAGCAGTTCACTTTGTATTGTACAACATTCCAAATTCACTTTCCACTAATAATACTAGGAATAAAAGTGCAGAGGAAAATGAAATGGACAATGGGGAAATTTCGCGAACACAACTGTATGTTCTGCTCGGTATCAATTCCTCAAACTTTCTGGTAAGCGATCAAGAAATTGGTTTTGAGAAGACAAAAGGGGCCATCTAAGAACCTGGGAAAGTAAAAGATGAAGCGTACTTTAAAAAAAAGTACATAAAGGGAAATAACTACACTGCAGCTACATCAAAAAACCTCCCCACAATTTAACACTTACAACGTTCAAGAACACCATTGGAACTATAAACGTCGAGGTCGATATTAAAATTATATAATTGTTTGGTGAAGGATGAAGGTTATCAATTGCTTGTGATTACATGTATATTTAAAACATTATTCCTACGTTTGCTGTAAACGTGAGATGGCTTAATATGGAAAACTTCAAGTTGACCAACCTGTTAGAAAGAGTGATGTCAGGTGCTCGGAGCATTTGCAAACCAGATTGAGGCATTTTTTGAAAGATTTTTTTAATATTTTGACAAATTCATGTATATTCATTAATATAAGTAATCTTATTCAAAATTATTGTTCACAAAAAAAAAAAGAAATTTATTTGAAGTCATTCTCAAATTTATGCTCAGCCTTTGGCGGAATTTAAGTCACGATTTTTAGGGTTTTTTTGCCCCATTCCGGAGAGTTCGGAATTTGGAATTTTAAACCCACCGCTGCATGCTGTTTATTTGGTCAAAATATATTGAAGTGTAAAATAAACAATAGTCCAATTCCATCATATACGATAAAAGAACAATATTTCATCATTTTCAGCGGACATGGCAATTCCGCAGCGCAATCAAAGTAAAAATGAGACAAAAGGTACTTTGTATAGACTAAAAATCCGTAAAAAAAAACACTTCTAAAGTTTGGTTTTCATTTCAAAGTTAAGACATTTGCCTGATATGCTACCATTACGCCCGGCATTACATCGGTATCACAACATTTGCCTGAAAAAGTCTAATGTGTTAAATATTTATAAAGCAGTTTGATAAAATTTTATTGGTTTAGAACAGTTTTACTACTGATAGAGAAGATGGAATTAAGTGAAGCTTTGCAATTCTCTATATGATTTATGAGCACCATGTAGTATGCAATGGGTAGAATTTTTCCAAAACATTTTTGATTTCCACAACAATTGGTTCGAAAACCAAAAACTCACCAGAACTGTGAACAGCTCCGAGTATGGCAACGAGACCTTATCCCAAGGTTAAACCTTTTGAAATTTCTAGCCCGTTAGCTTTCAACTTCAGTGCTTTTAAGACTACAATTTTTATTTTATACCGCATCACGATAAACCTCTCGACGTTTGTCGACATCCTGACAGGTAATTCACAACTGTAGACAAAAACCGTACAGATTATCTATAATAATAAACCGGAAGTGACGCATTGTTAAAATTTAATAAGTTCGCCATTTATTATCCGATTTGTGTGATTTTGGTGTCTATCAAAACCTTGTTTTTTTTATCGAAAACTTGTTGGTAACAAAATTTTGAATTTCGAATTTAAATTTTTTTTGTATGCCTGTTTGAATTTTTAAAGAATTAAAAAGTCTATATATTGTGTCCTTGACCTTCAATGACCTTGAATTTTTCAGTGATGATTGTCCTTAACCTCAGCGATCTATAGATATCCTTATATTGGGTGAAAAACATCAATTCCGGATTTAAAGCCCACCGCTGTCTGAGATTTTTGCAATTTTGGACGACTTTAACACATTCTCCAATAAACACATGGGCTTGTTTTTTTTCAGATTATCAATGGCCTTAAATTTCTCTTCATAGCAATAATGCATAAAAATATCAGTCCTAACGTCAAATTTATTTATCCGACACTAATATGGTTTACATCATTAGAATGCATTCGGAATTCTCTCTTTAACGTTATGTGACACGGATATTTGCTATAAAAATTCAAATCATTAAGTTTGGAAAAATTATAAAAAATAAATAAAAATTTATGGTTTTATCTAACGAATCAAAATGATTGACAAGGTGTTATACAACATTGCTAAATATGGTGGTATGAACTTTCAGCCTTGTTGTCAAATCAGTGAGCTAGAGAACAAATTAATCTGCTAACGAAATTTTTCTTTGCCAAAATTTCTACATTAGAATTCGAAACAAACCTGCATTTAACGCTATGAATTCGAAAGTTATTGAACCTTTGGAATGTTTTTTCTATCTTAATAAGAACTCAAATTACAAAATAATTTCTAATACTTGTGAAATATGCAAGTGTTTTAACAGAAGAATATCTCTTATAAACCTGGACGATAAAAATTGGAGAGTACTCTTCCTTTCAACAAAATTTGGAAACCTTTCATTTTAAAGACCGTCAGTGGCTCATGTAGGTTAGTGGGGACCCTTTCCCGAGAATTTAACATATAATATAATCCCTAGTGTGAAGTTGATTGATAGGTGTTAAGCGTGTTAATTTCTCTTTATTACTTAAATTGATAATTGATGTAAAATAAGTATGTTCTCTTCTTTAGTTTAAACATATTTTATTGAAATGCTCAAAAGGATTGGATATAACATTGATGGTTCCACATTGATAACAGATCTGTTGATTTAAACTTTTCACACCTCTCCAGTAAGCCAGAGAACAAATTAATTGATCATGCAATTTTTAAACCCCCAAAAAATATTTATTTATTTTGTTTGAAAAATTTTTACATACATATTTAAAAAAGACTCCATTTGAAGCTGTGAATTTGTAAAAATATCAAACCGTTGGTATTTTATTTCTATCTTAATTAGAACTCAAATTACAAAATAATGTCTTGAAATATGCAAGTATTTCTACAGGAGAGTATATTTAAACCTTAATAAGCAGACGATGTTAATTGGACAGTACACTTTCTTTCAACGAAAAAACCCTTCTTTATAAAGACAGTAGCTCATCTTGGTTAGTGACATAATTTGCTCCCTTGCATTCTCAGACCTCCCTATGCAATTTAATTAATGTTAATGGAAGATTTAAATACCATATATGAATACCAGTCAGAATGTCGACAGAAGTCAACTCGTCGACAAAATTTGATGAGAGAAGTCGTCGACAAAAGTTTTGTGACATAAATTATATAATTGATTTTTTTTATCAGATACTCGAATGCTTTAATTTCTTGTTGAAAAATTGTAGTCTTAAAAGCACCGAGGTTGAAAGCTAACAGGCACAGGCATCTGTTTCTATCAATAGTCGACTTTCTCTATAATAGTATATATATGAGAAGGTGGCTAACGCTCGGCACGACCATCTCCACTTCAGACGATTTTCTACCATTTACCGTAATGAAACATGATCCCAACCTTATATATGTATCGTTTTATTGAATATTTTTCTATATCTCCCTCAGTGTTCCTCTTCATACTAATCTAACTATTGTTCAATAAAAATACCAAAAAAATTTACAACCATCGTTTCAATGTATCTACTTCCGGTTGATTTGGCAGTAAATATATATCTGTCAATACGATTGGTCAGCTATAATTACCTGTCGAGCAAAAACCAAAGTGAAAGTAAAAGCATGGTTATTGGCTTATCTATTTATTCAATTACTAAGAAAAAAGTAATTATATCGGTGATTTCCATTTTTTAAAAATATATAAGTAATGAAAATAGCAACACAGTAATTCTACAGCATGATTTTCTTTACAAAATAGATAACATTCTGCCCTGAAACCCGCCAACCGGAAGTAGATACATTGAAACGAAACTTACTTTAATTCACGTTCAAACTCGCCACAGTGGGATTGCTAAACTTTTGCTTGTTGCAAAAGAACAAAATTTAGTTATTGTT